TAGTTAATATTATTATGCTATGATCAAATTCTGGGAGGCCATGAAGTGCAAACGTGTCTTAGTGTGTTAAATTTTAACAGAAAATCTGTCTCAGCTGTGTTTGTAATGAATCCTTTTAATTAGTTGCTTGGCTTGGCTCCTCTTTTCAAGATGTCTACAGGAAACATTTATGTGCAAACCTGTTATTAGGGCTCAGTCCCGTGTCCTTCACCCCTTTTAACAGGCTTCTCCCTTGTGTTGCCAAACATTATAAGGCTTGTCTGATGGGACCAAAGCCCAGCTCTGTACACAGGAGGGATGTTGGCTGTGGGGATTTTGAGGTGCGGCGGTCCTCTAGAGCAGCTGGACATCTGGGTCCCATCAGAGAGGAGACGGAGGGAGAAGAGAGGGGGTGGGAGAGTGAAAAAAAGGAGACAGATGGGGAGAAAGAACAAGGGAGAGTGCGAGACAAAGTGATAAATGGAGAAGAAGATAAAGCAAATTGGGCAAGCAGGTCTGATAAGTCTTTTGTTGTGAAACCCTAAAATGGAAGCAGAATTCAGGGAGAGTGAAAGAGAAAGCAAAGGAATGTCAATACGCCATTATCTCACTGTAACAAGTGTGACTGGAGATTGGCTGACAAGTCAGGAGATAAAAGTGCTGATGTTGGATACACATTCAGGGGTTTGGTTCATTTAGTGGCATTTGTGTGAAGCTCTGCCAACTGCCAGGAAAATTAGCCATAGTGCCGTAAACTTCTTCAAAACAAACCCATATTACGCTCAATATTTTTCAAAACTTGAACTGATTTTTTTTTTAGCAAGCTCAGAGGAAAAAAAATACAAAAATCTTCTATATTAAATGTCCAGTGTGTCTGATTTAGGGGTATATATATTGACAGAAATAGAATATAACATAATAAGTATGTTTTCTTTAGTGGATAATCACCTAAAAATAAGAATTGTTGTGTTTTCATTACCTCAGAATGAGCTGTTTATAGCTACATAGGGAGCCAATTCTTGTCCACCATGTTGTTCTACTGTAGCCCAGAATGGACAAACCAAACAATGGGGCTATTTGCATTTTTGCATCAGCCACCACAGTTAGCAGCCTCTCTCATTCATGTAAAACAGCTTTGTTCAGTGTTTGTAATGGTTAAAATCACCTCTGTGGATAATTTGTCTCCTGGTAAAAACCTCTTAAAATGTCTGGATCTTAAGTTATCTGAGTAAAAAGGTGAGCACACATTAGCAAGTACTGGGTTAGCAGGCATCTGTGGCATGCCAAACAGCGTAGGAGAAACACTGAATTTTTAATGTGGAACTGTGAAATCTGTACTGCCACTAAATCCCCCTAATCTTGACTGTTCCTTTAAATAACAAAAACTAAGGGTGTTTTCACACCTGCCCTGTTTGGTTTAGTTCAGTCAAACTCAAGTTCGTTTGCCCCCTAACTGTGGTTCGTTTGGGCAGGTGTGAACACAGCAATCACACTCAGGTGCGCACCAAATTCAGCACATCCAATGCATCAAAACATTGTTTTCTATTTGGAGCCGCGCCTCGTTTTCAAACTGTATGGTTTGACTAAAATGAACAATGACAGCAATATAGTCCATGATGACCAGCGCTAAAATCAACCTGCGTAGTTGTCCTTCCATTGTGACATTAGAAAGTGTCACCTTTATCTTGTAAGTGTACTCTTCTTCAACGTTTTGTTTACTTCCTGGATTTTTCCCGCATGGAAATTCTGACCAATCAAGAGCAGCTTTCTCGCTCAAGGCATTTTATCTGGTCCGCTTGTAAATGCTGCCGTGAGAACACGAACCAACTCTAGGCAGTTATGCACCTTTGAAACAAAATTAGTCCCTGATTCGTACCAAAGCAAGACAACTCTAGGTCTAATTAACCTTGTGCTCCAAAAGGTTAGAGAATACATGTCTAAAGTCAGTAACAGAAAAAAGACATGGTTTGTGTTTGAAAACACTTCGTAAAAAATACCAGCTGATCGAAAGGACAAAAGCTTAACATGCTGACAACAAGTACCATTTGTTTCCTGTATTGGGGTTAGAGGTCAGAGGTGGTGGCATACTTTCCAACTGGGGACTTTCTCGTCAACAATGGGGACAGGGGACAACAGCGGCTGTAAGCTCTGTGTGGGTCAGGCTGTGTCAGGCTGTCAGCAGGGTTATCATGTGGGTGGTGGGACTGTCGCACTGGTGGTACCACAAACAGAGCGGGGGGACCACCACAGTTAGGTAATTGCCTTCTGACCTCTGGTGGCTTGGGGCCAACAGGCTGAGACTTCCAGACTGGGCCTCAGTCCTGTTAGTGTGTGTGTGTGTGTGTGTGTGTGGGTGTGTGTGGATCATAGCCCTGTTTCCCCTCGGGTGCGAGAACTCACTGACCCTATAGGTTTCATTGCACTCCCTCTGCAGCAAAGACCTCATCTGCCCTGCTTTCTTGTGTTTTTCCCACGATGAGAAAGAAAAACAGCAACTTAAAAAGCGCCTCTGTGAACGTCAGAGGATGTAGAAGAGGGAAGGAAAGGCGAGGGGTAAGGATAAGACGAGGTGGAGGAGGCTAGAAAGCTGATATGGTTGTGGTGTCTGATTCGATCACGCCCTTCAGTAGCCTTTCAGGAAAGCTTATGTCACTTTACAAGTCTGCACAGGGGTAATGTGTATGTCTGTGTGTTTTAGGGGTGATGACTGAGGGTGGAACAGGCCCAAGTGGGTGGGTTGATCTGACAGAAATTGTTTTCGATATGTGTGTATGTATATGTGTGTGTGGTGATCTGGGAAAGGCGAGTGTCAGGTGGGCAGCACTAATGTGCAGGAATGCAGAGATTCCACAGTGGCTTTGTGGATCGGCTGTGTCACTGAGACAGCCGCCCCCCCTCCAAAACCCCAACAGGACCATGGGAATGAACCAAACAGGCGGCACCTTGAAAGCTCTCCCTCTCTCTTTCTCCTGTTCACACACATACTTATTCACTTGCAGCATTGTACTGTGGGGGCGAGTGAGTATTATAAAGACAGAGTGAGGTAGATTAGATGGCGAGGGAGGATTAGATTCAGTTATGGTATATTTATCCTCTGCCTCCCTGTAAGTTCACCAAGAACATCTAAGAGCTTAAAGCTGTGTGCACCTGCTCTCATTGTGTTAAACTTTTATTGTCTACACAGAAGCTCTACACCAACATCAGGCTTTTTCAATAAAGTATTCTGGTGTAAACATAAATGTTGGCATTTATCAATTTGAGTGCCTCTTGAGTGCCCCTTGAGTGTTTATGTGTTTGTATGTTTATGGAGTGGGCACTTCCTCCCTAAAACAAGGCTGTTAAATGTCTGCTGCAATTAAATCTCTGTGTTGGACAAAGCCTGATTACTGCTGGAGACTCTTGGCTTTGATCAGAGCAGCCATCTAACTAACACAGCTTCCTCTTAGCCTGATGTAATTGGCTAAATCAGCCTACTGAACGGGAAGCCTGATTGCTGCTGCTGCTGTGTGTGTGTGTGTGTATTTGTGTGTGTGTGTGGTGTAGAGGGAAACCAGAGAGAACAGGATGCAAAATTAGCCCCTTATTTAAATGGCCCCACACATGTGACCTGGGTCACAGACTTCCTGAGTCTGGGGTTTGGCTGATCTGACATTAGCAGATGGTAATGACCCAGTCACTCGTTTGCCACCCACCTACCTGAGTAAATGCCCAGTGAAATATTATGCAACTCTGTATCTGGGTGTGTGTTGCAGCTCCCACTTTCAGTTAGGCATGACAGCAAAGATTAGGGGAAAGTTTACAACTACCCCTGGGGTAAAGATCAATTCATTTTTCAGAATTAAACCATTTGCTGACAGCTGGCGAGAGTTCCTCTGAGTCTCACAAAAAAAACCCAAAACCTTTCTCTTCTGCTTTAGTACATTTAAATCTTCCCCCCGAAATTTTCAATAGTGGCGGCCAGAAAGGGCCACTGTGAACCGTAGAGAGGAGCACATAGGCTAGTTGAAAACATGTCAATATGACAGTTACAGAATTGCATACTGATATACTTTGGTTTCTTATTTTACAGTTAATATCACTAATTATCTGATGTGCATAGGCCAATACCAATATAGTTAATAGCTTGAGTTCCACAGCACTCCTGTTTCAATGTCTTATATTAGTCGATTTTTTGCTCTTCAAATAGGCCGGTAGTTCTTATCCTTAAAAGGATAAATATACTGTTTTTACTTAAAGGAGTACATTGATTATAAGCAACAAAACATTTACAGGGAACAAGCCTTCTCAAGTTAAGGGGAGAACCATGGGTACCCATAGAACCCATTTTCATTCAGAAATTTTGAAGTGAGAATTCAAGGTACCTCTTGAAAATCACCATGCAGGCTTTCTCCTCACCAAAATGTAACCTAAAGGACAAGACGGACCAAACCAACATCAAAGAACTAGCGGCAACAAATGTAGACTTTTGCGTCACCTCAAGTCCAAAACTTCAGAACACATCGCAAAGATGACAGCCGAACAGCATGTCGGTCTGCACATGTGTGAGAAGAAATAGCTCTCCATACCAGCAGAGAGCAGTAGACCGTATTTGTCATTAAAAAAGGGAAACCTAAAAGCCGACAAGACAGATTCAAGATAGTAATTAGCCAGTTAGCACATTAACAACACAACAGAGTGTTGAAAGAACAAAGCATATTTACCGTGAGCCAGCGAACAAAAACACAAACCATCACGAAATGTTTCTGCTGAAGAGTTCAATGGCGAAAGAGAAATAATTCTTTCTTAGTGGACCCCCTGGACCCCCCTTTGGGGTGCCACTGGACAGGAAACTCATCTCACTTCCCCAAAATGTATGTTACCTTCTCTGTACATAACTCTGGGAAAACCTGAAGAAACTTTAAACTCCAAGAGGCTCTTTCTTTATATATTTCTTGTTCATATTTTATGATCTTTTCCCCATCTTTAGATTTAAAGGTAATCTAAAACCCTCAGCTGATCTCTCTGTCTCCCTGCATCCCCAGCAGCCATTGACTGTGTAGTGGGATCGTGGGGTCCCTGGTCATCGTGCACATCTCCATGTGGAGTTGGCAGCACAGAGAGGAGTCGCCAAGTGTCCGTTCCCCCTAGAAACGGAGGCACGCCCTGTCCTGACCTCAAACAGCGTCGAGGATGCTTTGGAAACAATGCCATATGCAGCACCGCAAAAGGTGAGGCTATGACATTTTTATGCCGTGTCCGTGCATTTATGCATGTATGCTCTCCTGCTCTGAACTCTGTTACATATTAATCTAGTGCTTCAGTATTCTCTGGGGTACCTCTTGCTAACACTTCTGCTGTAAGAAACAGGCCTTATCTCCAGCTGCACTATTTCAAACGCCTCAGTTATGCTCTTTACTGTTGAATCATTTTCCTGGTAATAAAACACCAGAACACAGATAAGTAGAAGATTTCCAAAGAAATAACGCCACTTTGAGTCATCTGATACATCAAGTCATTGGGATGACTTTCCTGTAATTAAAAAAAGATCCCCTCCTCTGGAAACAAGAGCCTATCTGACGTGAGTGCTTCCTTTTTCATTTCCACCTTTTTATCCCCACGCCTGACCTGCAGAGGTGGCAAAGATCCTGCCTGATTCCTTTAAGAGGAACTTCAAGGACCCTTGGAGGCGACCACACATGCTGATGAAGGAGGAGAAGGCCAGGTAAGGCCTCTATTATCAGACTGCAAACAAACACACAGACTGCTCACTACTGACCCACCCAGCCCATTTTGTTTTTGTCTGTAGCGCCGGCTTTCATGTGCAGTCGATGTAGAGAGGGTGTAATTACAGCTGAAATGTGTGGAGCACTGAATGATCCTACGTCCTGGACAGAGAGTGAGACTTTATAGCAAGTGAAGAGTAGGCTATTGCATCAAAAATGCTATCTGTGTTTTGTGTGAAATTTACCAAGTCTTACCTTAACCAACAGCTTTTTTTGCCAGCATTTTATATGGCACGAACCTCTTTTGTTCCAGCTCCAAGGCTGCATTTCAACATCTCAGATACAGCTAGATTTGACTTCAGGTTCATATCAGTTTTTTCACAGTTTCAACTTAGTTTCAAAGGTCACTATAAGATCAACTTTGTGCTCCAAAAGATTAGAGAACACAGATCATGTCCAAGGTTTCCATAGCAGGCAGAGCCTTGAAATTGCTTTGACTGTGTAACATGAAGGCTGTCGTTGAATATTTGCATCATGAGCTGACCTTTACCGATAAGGCAACCATAATCCATGTAAGAGGCAAAGCCTTCCTGCGTAGATCATCATTTCTGAGAACATCTGAGCTGATTGCTGATGTTCTCAGAAATCAGGGAATAAAATCGCTGTTGGTTTCCTGACAGCCCACAGCTTTTTACACTGATTGAAATGGACATCGGATACCTCTGTTTTGACTGAAGTAAGAAGTATCAGGGGATTGGAGGCACATTACTCATGAATGTAAGCCATGCAGTAGGATGATTTCACAGAGACATCTGGTGTGCTTGATGATGGGTCCCTGGTGTTGTCATGGCAATTTGCCCTGGAATCAAGGGGTTAAAATGACTTGAAAGCATGATCCGTAGTTGCCTTTGGATCTCCAGTTATATATATGAAATTATCTGAGGTAATATGTTTCATGATGATGTTTAGGTTAAAAATTGCCAGGTTGCTGTTATGTAGTTCTTTGAATTTGTAAAGGCTTAACACAGACCTGTGCTGATAACTTTCAAGAGTTAAGACATAAAGGTATTGTGTGTTTTAACAGAGCGCCTGTGTTGTTGGTTTGAGGGATTTGCATTATTTGAAGTTTTGCAGCATGAACAAGTTCAAGCCCAATCAAGGGAGAAGTGAGGAAATCCCCCTTGTGTTAAAACCTCATTATATTTGTCATTTCTGCAAAATGTGTAAATAATCCCAAAGGTAGATATGCTAATGAAAGTTGCTGATGGAATCCATCAAGCATAAGTGATAATGTTAATTTCTTCTTCACTTCTCTGCACTCTCTCTGCCTTACTTATTCACTCCTTCTTTTCACTTTGTTTGCCTTGTTGCAAAGCGTTCTTCAAATGCAAGCATTATCAGACTAAATTTGCATGAGTTTAAATTATAATGTTACTGTTGGACAAAATCTCCAAGAACCACTCTGAAAAAAAAATGCAGCTTCAAGTTTTCTTTGACAAACCACCCCGCTGGGAATGGTGTTTTGTCCCAGCTGACTGAATCAGAGACAAAATAAATAGTGCACAAGTTCAAAGTGCCTGCCAGAGAACACAGTGATCAGAGAAACACGACTTTATTATTGTTTCCAGTGCACAGACTGAGCTGTGTTGATATTAGGATACTGCAGGTGACCGTGACACTGCTGAATCACCTTCAAATGGAACAAATCTCTTATCAGGAAAGTTTGATTTGTCCTTTGTCTGGTTATAGTCGTGATCAAGCACAGCTTGCTGAGGTGGATGATCACTTGGCTCCCATAGATCAGGCCATGTTGGATCGCTTTTCATTGTTAACTACTTCAGGAGAGGAGGAGAAAAACTCTTTTTAGAGAGTTTAAACCTGACTTGTGTCTCTGTATTAATATGGACTTTTTCTTTTGTTGTTGATTTTGTCGAGGCATACAGATGTTTCTCATTTCATTTGGCGCACTTTCTACCACATTAATACGAGGGAAAGATAACAGTCTGAAGCTCAATCCAATGAACAAAAAGTTAGATAGTGAGCCCTTGGCTGTGTGAGCAGCACCTTGTTTAGTCAGGATTAGGATCAGGTTCTGAGTCCAGAAATGTGTGATTCGACCTTTTGACCCCTGTATTTTTATCTTTTTTTTTTTTTTTTTTTTTTTTTTTTTTACAGATTTACGAATCAAATGTAAGTATACCTGAGTTAATCATTTGTGACACTTTTCTCTCTCTGTCTTTACCTTGTGCTTACAGTTACTGTGTGTACCTGCGGTTGAAACAGGCCAGTGCAGCGTGTAAGCTTAAACTGTGGAGTGCTCAGCTGGTGAGAGAGAGGCTGGTCTGTGCAGAGTGTCAGAGCGATGCCATGTCAAAGTCAGACCGCTGTGGAGGCGACGGCCTACAGAGCACCAGGTAAACCAAGCAGACAAAAGAAAACCACGGACAAGTTCATCCATTTCACCTCAGATAGTTTTCAATTTAGGGTAGTGGGTCTGCGTGGCTTTTAATGTAGCTTAGCCATCTGTAGAATGGCTGGACAAAAACTAAAAATTGTCTGAGCTTCCCCCCGAAAGCTCTGACAACATTCAAGCCACTTTGTGTAGACTTTGTGGCTCAAAGCAACATCTGCATTGCCTGGGTCCAGACCTTTGAATCCACAAACATCTGCATCTATTTTCGCTTAGACTGTCTTATTGTTTCTACAAACCAAACCATATGTCACCCAATGAAAGAACTGAAATAAAAGACAAAGTGGACTTTAAAAACAAAACAAAACAAATACAAAAAACATTTAAAACACACTATTCCATGCCTGACATGGTCCTTATCTTCCCCAGAACTTTCTGGGCAGCAGCTTCAGTCCCAGGCTGTCATGGTTCCTGGGTGCGAGAGTCGTCCTCTGAGAGCTGCCGATGTCCTCCCTACTCCGTGCTCTTCGTGTGATCCGACATGCAAACCCCAGACATCTGTATGCAGGGACAAGATTTCCCTCGACACCTCCTGCTAACTGTGGAGAGCCCTGCCAGCCAAGCCAGACCCCTCCAATCCAGAGTACTGGATGGGTAACTCAAGGACATCAGCAGCATCCTGCCACTTTTTCCTTTCACCTCATACTCTGTACTGTACATACTATTAATAAGCACACAGAAATTCTTGCATTTAACTTCAGATTTTTCAGCCACATTATGTACTTATTCTCCTCCAAAGCACAGCGACATCTATATGCCTTTTTACCTCTGAATCTTTGCTATCTACCTCCATCAATGCAAGTGCATTTGTTAATGCATAATGTATAAATATATAAATATATTATTTTGCTTTATACATTTTCTACTTTTGATTGTTTACGTGTTATGTATATGTGTCTATATAGCTACACTTATTTGTATCCAACAATTTAAACACCAAACAGCAGTTGCTGCACCCAATTTAAGCCCCAGTCCAAAGGGTCCCTAAATCACCTGCAGGTTGGAGATGCTGAAAACTGGTTCATCCAAATTGTATCCATTGCTGAGAAGTCTTGTATGAATATATCTGTGTTTTACAGTTTTGTCCCTGTTATTGTTTATTTTCAACAAAAACATTTATACCAGCAAGTCAAGTTGAATATCAGGTATTGATTCTCAGGTGCTGAGATTTGTGTCTTTGTCTCCCATCAAGCTTCCTCTTTTATATCTGCCTCCTCTGACGGTCGGTCACTGATGTTTTTAGTAGTTTAAAGTGACTCATAGCTGAAATCGGTCCCTTCTGAGTAGACCTAATAATGTTGGAGAGGAAAAAGAGCCATTTAAGAGAATTTCACTGTGGTTCTCTCTGTCCTCTGTGTCCAAGACTGAAAAGAACTGCTTCATAACTATGTTTTCTCTCACTCCCTGCCCTGCTCAGAAATCCTATTACCATCAGCAAACTGTCATCCAATATAACCATTACATACAGCCATGTTACTCCCATTTTATTCATTAACAGAATCTCCTCCCAGCACTCCCCTCAGCTCCTCTATCTGCACTTCTTTTTCTTCTCCGCCCTCTACTGAGGTCAACTGGCTCAGTACGCCTTCCCGCATCTCTTGTACTTCTGGTTGAAATGAACAGTGTGTTAGATTTAGGGGGATTTAGTGGCATCTAGCAGATTGCAATCAGCTGAAAATTCTCCAGGTTGGAATTCCTTCAGTGTTTAGTGTTCAGGAGGTTTTTATCACAAGCAAAATTATCCGCAGAAGTCTCTTCCTAACCAACACAAACAGACCAGTAATTTAAAACTGGTAAAACCACTGAGTAAAGCAGTTTCATGTTACAAATCAGTGTTTCTGCGACACTGTTTGGCATGTTGAATGTCGCTAGCTAGCCTAACACCTGCGAAAGTGTGCTCACCTTTTATGTCAGTGAAGATTCTCAGTCATCCAGGTCATGGTAATCTTAAGAGCTATATCGTATCCAGCTGGACTTGCTTGAGTTTCTTGAGGATGTTTCGATGTTTCATCCAAGAGGCTTCTTGAAGGCGAACTCTTGGATGAGGGGCTACGATATAGCACTTAAAATTGCTCACCTTTTACTATTATAACTTAAGATCCAGATGTTCAGGAGGTTTTTACCAGGAGCCAAGTTATTTCCAGAGGTCTCTTCCTCTTTAAAACAAAAGGACCCGGTGATTTAAATCAGTAAAACACCAAATAAAGCAGTTTCACGGAAAAAAACAGTGTTTTTCCAACACTCTCACTGCAGAGGGGCTGCGAACTGCGGTAGCTAACGGGATAACATGAATGGCCCTATCTTGTGCCAGTGTTGTCTTGTGTAGTTTGTCTGATCTGGGCTTCTGTAGAAACATGGCAAACCAACATGGTGATATCCAGAGATGAATATCTGCTCTGTATGTAGATATAAACAACTCATTCTAATATAACAAAAACACAAGGTGATTTTACTCTAAAGAAAACATATTGCATCTCTGACAATATATATTCCCCTAAATCCTACACACTGGACCTTTAAGACAAGGACAAGTTCAGTCTCAGTAGAGGGCTTTTTTCTCTGGAAAGCTGTGACTTTCTCTCTTTCTCTCCCTCTCTTACATGTATGTGTCTGTGTTTGTGTGTTTATTTATTATAAAACAAGTGATGATTTTATTAGTGCAGCACAGCATATATCTGTACACTGTCCATTAGTGAAAATAAACAGTTATACTATCATCTCTTCCCCTCTTGTCATATTTTCTAATGTGAGTATTGCACTGCATCACTGCATTAACATTTCTGACCTCTCCCCTCTGCAATTACTACGATGGGGCCAGCCCTGCTAAGTATATCCCTCAGTTTAACCGGTGTTTACACGCAGTACTTTTTCACAGTTAAAAGAAGAGCTCCGCTGAACATACACGTAACAAACATGTACCTATCATCAACATATTTTTGTTGCATTCTTTGCATTTTTGTCCCGTGGTGTTAACGGGATGACGACAAAAATGACAGCTAATGTGTATAATCATGCTTTCGTGCCACATTCTGCCACAGTTTGGAGTTTGTTTTCATGATGTAACTGCCAGAGATGATGGGTGGACAGGCTAAACATTAAGTCTGAGTCACTGAGCAACTTACATCATCACGAAATACATCTGTTACTGACATTTTTTGGTTTTCACACAAGTTCAGGAGATACAGAATTTAAAGGCCGCTTTGCCTCCTCCTTTATGTGATATATGTAGTTAACTGAACACGGAGGAGGGGATGTCTAAACCTTGACTCTGACCCTGACAGTTGTTTATAAAGACATTGCTCTTTGTCCTTGCTGACAGTTTAAACATTTGCCAACCACATCAGAACCTTCTGTTTTTTGTGCAAAAACATAAATTGGTTGTTGACTGTACAGCACAGCCCTTCATCACAAACCAGTATGTAAGCAGGAAGGTAATAAGACTAAGCAAAGGAAAGATAAAGTAAAGCACAATTTAGAATAGATTGGCAGATGTAAATATTACATATGCCTCCTAAGTTTAGACAGTAACAAAGACCACTTATTGTCTGTGTAGATAAAGAGCATTTTTGTCTGAAGACCCAAGACTTGACCCAAGATTTGACAAATCAACACTCCCCACATTAGTCCTTTGAGGAAGCTTCATTCTCCTGGCCACTTTCATGTGTTCCATCTCAGAGGCACTTGAACTTTACCTCCTCCATTAATCTCTCCGGCCACCCTCCCCCCTTTCTCTGCACTCCTCCCTCCTCCCTCTCCCCAGATCCCTACCAAACTCCCCTCGGTCAGCACAACTCTTTATTTTCTCTTACTACAACAGTGGCAATAGAGTGCTGTCAGCCTGACAGTCCATCCCCTCTGAAGCAGGCTTTACCCCCCTGGCTGCCCTGCCTCTGCTGCTAACCCGCTTTCCAAAGGGCAGGAAGGCCCATCTCTGGCCCAGTGCCTGATGGGCTCCGACAGCAGTGTGTTCTGGGATTACGCCTGCTGAAAAGGGGGGCATTCCAGCACCAGCGGCCTTTGTCACAGCACGGCCACTGTTTGCTTTTGACAAGACAGCTGTTCAAAGCCCTCCCGGCCCCCACGGATGGCGTTAAGGGAAAGAACCCAGGGGTGACTTCCGTTTATTGGTGGTGTCGCTGGATGCTCGGTATCACCTCCACCTGAGGTCACTTCAGCAGTATATTTATCTGTAGCTCCAGTCTATATCTCACATTGTCATGTTCATTTTACATGATTAGAGTCACATAAGCAAGTAAAACTTTTCTAACATGCAGCTATACTAGCTAGGTGTATCTCCAAACCTTGACCTGAACAAAAATGGTGACTGCTGAAGAAAGGTGAAATTAATTTATCTGTATGACTGCACTGCCTTGTCTACTGGAACATCCTTGACTTTTTCCTTGCTTTCCTAATGTATAAATGATATGATGATGGGTACTGATAACAGGGTTTCTATCAACTTTGCTTAGTTTTTTTTAGTGTGTGTATACCACACATGCAGGATAGACATGATCTGCACTACCATCTGTGTCCATCCATCCACAAACCTGACCCAAAACATGCATTTACTGACCAATAAATAGTTGTTATTTCATCATGTCCTAACCTATCCTCCCATTCAAATCCCATCTTAGGACAAGTACTCCTGTTTAATTTGTTTTGCGAATAACACATCACCTGCTGTCTATTCTTGAGAGGGTTTGGTTGATGGTTCTGCAGCATTCAAGCTTCAAATAAATAGAAATCAAATTAAATAATATTGAAAAAATCTCCACAAATACATGCTTGAGATGTTTGAGAACTCACAAAAAATCCTTCTAGTTGAGACATGCTGGAGCCTCCCTCAGCTTGGGGCCCTGGGTAGTTGGTACCCCCATTTTCCTCTCTGTGTCACCCCAGTGTTGTGCATACGTGTTTTTGGGAAGTGTGTACTGTAATTAGCAAGTCATCCTAATGAGGGCCTGTTGCCACTGTAGGAGCAGCTGGTCCAACACAGAGGAATGATAATGAATAGACGGTTGGACATGAGGACCTGAGCTGCACACAGCAACACAGCTGGAACACAACAGAGACAGTAAACACACACACACACACACATCCTGTGATGATCGTGTTGAGAAACATTCATCAGTGTCTTGTTTTTTAAGGATTATGCACCATTACAAGACAGAGTATCTCAAGGCTTTTGGTATATTGTAGTTGGAGTAAAATATGAGCTTATTTGCTTTGGCTAAAACTAATTTTGGTGTTTTAAGTTTACTCTGAGAATAAAGTACAGAGTTTTAAAATATATGTAAGTTATTTTCAACTGTAATAAGTGTACTTTGATTGTAAAATGGTCCCTTTAATCTAAAATGACCAAATTAGCATTTCACAATGAGGAAAAAAATTAAACAATGCTGGTGTGTGTCAACATACACCATCAATGAAGTGTTATCTTTCTGCAGGAGCTCATGATGATTCAGTCCTGGAAATGTGGCATCACCTTGTGGTGCTTTTGACTCTCTGCTCCACTTTAACAGAAACAATTTCCACAACACCAGAGACTCCCCACACAAATGTTTTTATTGGGTATGTGTCCTTGATTAGAATACATGAGATACATGGCAAAAATGAAATATTGTAACCACGAATCATTTATTATTTGTGATTTTATTAGCATAATGTTGTTTTATTCTCTTAAAAAAAACATAACATGGTGGCTCATCTACTCATTAGTGTATCCGTGAAGATACATCCTGATAATAAAGGGGGTGCTCCTTCAGTTTTGAGTTTTCATATTCACAGCTAGCTTGTTCACATTATTTATGCTGTACAATAATTCACTCAATCACATTATGCAGAATTCAATATATTTATCAATATAAACATTTTATATAAAGCTAGGGAAAACACTGAAGGACATTGCATGTACTTTGAACATTAATTCAGAGAATCAAACAAAGTGAGGCACCTCATGATGAGATGTAGCAGTGGACACAGAATCATGGCACAGAACCAGAAGCTACTCTGCTGTACATACAGATTATGTATAAGGCAAAAGTGACTTAAGCTGGACTTTCAGAGTGTTCTAGTACATGTGTGGAGGCAGGTACAGGAAGGTAGCACTGACATGTGAACCATATGCACAAGACATTCCAGTTTTAGAAATACGCCGTGTTCTTTCCTATTCACTGAATTACCCATAAATCAAAAAAGCTCCTCCTCATTAGTCAAACCATTAATCTGTTTTTCTGCTTACCTGAATGATGAGACACCAAGGAGCCAATGGTACGTCTTTGGTGATGAAGACAGACTGATCCAGCTAATGCTCTAACCACCCAAAACAATGCCAATTCAACAGACTACATTCAGACAGAAGTGCAATGGAGCTTGATGGAAAAAACAAAGATTTCACCCAGACAAAGACAGTCCTTTACCTCTCATACACACATGGAATATAATATTCAATGCAGAGCACATCACAGTTGTTCTGAGGTGAAAGACCTCATTAAATGAACATGTTGGTATAAAACTGAGTGGGAGGAGGAAATTCTACGCAAACATGGATTCATGGACAAATCTGAAAAGCAAATGAATAGGACCTTTCAGACATTCAAGAATAAAATCATCTAAATAAAAATGTGTTCACTTGCTTACTTGCCAGAATTACAACTTCCTATCCATAAAAAACAAAACAACAAAGAACGCATAGTTTATTCAACAGAGGCCAGGATGGAGAGTGAGAGAAGTAAGAGGATGAGCTGACACTGTCTTTTGTCTCTGTGAGGCAAGTCCGACTGTTTGTTTTATTTGAGTTTTTTAATCTGTTGGTTCGTGTTCTGGATCTTGCCATCCATCCTGTCCACTTTATTCATCAGAGCATCAATGGAGTCGTCCTGGTCGTCAATCTCAGACTGGAGACCAAGTCCAAGGCTTTTTAGTCGACTCAAACCATCGCACATCTCGTCTAGGTAATTCACAAAGGACATTGGTTAAACTGTGGACTGGCAGAAAATACTTAAAGACAGATTAAAGATTATTGTTATACATCCAAAAATAATAAAAACATTTCATTGTAATGGGTGTTTTGATCTGAGGTAAACTGTGGCAAAAGAAATTTATTTTGTTGTACAAAATTCCAAAAATTGTAACATTATCGAAAGCTTCCATCTCCTTGTGACTGTGTTGTATAAAACTATATCATAATAATGTACAAAAGAATTAAAACAGAAATATTTTTACCTAAATTTTTGTCGAGGGTGTGGTGAGCCTCTCGGAGGTGTCTGTTCTGAGGGTATCCATTCTGTCTAGATGAGCCGTCATCTACTGATGAAGAAGCTCCAAATCCTGAAACACAGAAAACAGGAATGGTGGCAGCCACTTCGTACTATGGTTATGCCACGCTGAGGTTCTTGTGCAAACTCTTACCTCCTGTATCCAACTTTCTTAAGTTGGGGTGGCTGGCTTGGTACTTATCTTCATGTTCTCTGCTGCTGGCCATGGCATTCTGTAATCTGTCAGATAAATCAGATAAGTATATTGTTCAGCCGTTTAGTGAAGGACAGTCAATAACAGAAAGCTGTACATGGATCAAGCACCAATTTTACAGTAAACACTCATTTGAGTCACTGTTGTAATGACTTTATTGTGAAATATGATCACCAACTTGGCTCCAGATAAGTTGAATATAGAAAAGTAATCTGTGTGTGACATGAAGACATTTACCTACTGTTGAGG